TGTGATGTTTTTATCAGCTGTTTGGACTCTCATTCTGACGGCACCCATTCACTACAGAGCATCCACTGGTGAGCAAGTGATGTAATGCTACATTTCTCCAAATCTGTTCCCATGAAGAAACAAACTCACCTACATCTTGGATGGCCTGAACTTGAGTACACTGTTGGCAAATTTTTGTTTTTGGGTGTATTATTCCTTTAAGATTGTTAGAGTGCCAAATCATTTTCCTTTAGAATAAATTCCGGACAGGAATTAGTCATAAACAAAGCCGTCTCAAATTCCCCACTGTAATGTGTGAGTGAACTGTGACTCAAAGTATCAGTCCGACACTTCCAGAAATAGACTTTGGATCCACAATTTTTTTTTTTTTTATACATTTTGAACATGTTTCAGAAAAATGTCTGGTGTATGACATATCTTACCATTTTCCTTGATCATTGCTTATCTGTTGTACATTGTAGCCAAACTCTTCTACCGCAAGACCTGAGAAGATTTTAGCCCCTGCAGTTCCCACATTGAAACCCTGAGTGTGAGCGATACAGAAACCTGCGGGGAAAAGTTTGACATTCTCAGCTATGATTTTAGACCCTATTTTGTTTGGAAATGTATATTCACATACAGTATATTTAATACGGCTCTAGTTCGTCAAAAAACGTTTTTGCCATGAGACAACTGACATTGGTAAGCCTTTTCTATGACCAGCAGTATGTCGGCATATTTCAAACAATACTGATAAGTCGAAGTCAGAACCCAACCCTTTTTAGACTTAACACCCAACACACCTTCACAACAAACAATGGGACTTATTATGCACAGATTTATCTGCATCAACACAGATTTATCATGTACAAAAGTATATTTCTTTTTTAATAGTATAGATTCCAAGAGTGAGTGAGAAAATGAATGAATGAATAAATAAACAAATACATCAAATCGATTTTTGTTTTCATACAGAAAAATAGATGGATACATTTACCTGAAAAGCAAAATTGGTTAAATTAATAGTTTAAATCTTCATTTTTCTTTTTCAAATGGCAAATTGGTATTTATCAATTTAGTTCGATTTGTGATTAAAACAATAAAGAAATGTCATGGGTAGGGGAAAACAACTTAATTCAACATGCAGTATGTTGTCTGAAAGTACAATTGTACAATTCATACAATTTAAATTGTATGTTTTGAAGTTCATCTTGTTTAAGGAGGTTAAGATTTTACTGAGAGTAAGTATATGAAACAGTTTCATTATAGATCATTACCACAAAATAATAAAATATTAACATGGCTGTCCACCCAAATGTAAAAAGTCATGAAAACTATGAAGATTAATAATTTGTAAACATCATATGGTAAGCAAAGCAAGTACTTACTCTGCAATAATAGCAGTAGTATCACACATTTTTCCACTTTGTCCATTGCTGGAGAAATTGCTAAGAAAGAGTAGATGTGTGATGTCTCCAGTCCTACTGTAACTGTTATAATGAAACAACCTGAACTATCCCAAAGCTCAGAGGATATGATGTCATAGCAGCACTCCTGTAAGATTTCTATCTTCCTTTCATGTTGACATTATGCAACATGCCTACCACAAATAATTCACCACTGACCAAATAAGGAAGCTTGTGGCTTATTGTAACGGGCGTCATGCTTTTTATTTGACACTTCGTAAAAATCCAAATGAAAAAGGGAAAGATAAAAAGAGCAGATCATAAACTACGGAGAAGCTAATAAAAGACACAATTTAGACATGAAATCATATTCGAAAGCCGAGTCTTAATATATTTACAGCATGTTGAGAAATAGGCTATGCGCTGCTATTTTCCTGCGTTTCACTAGACTGGGCGAGGACAGGTGGGCGAAGACAGGTGGGCGAAGGGGCGGAGTCATAGAGCTGAGGAAGTCATACTCATCATGAGTGTGCCCACTGCAGACCATGACACACACACACACACACAGGTTTGTTTTTATTGTTTATGGGGACTCTCCATAGGCGTAATGGTTTTTCTACTGTACAGACCGTATATTCTATTGCCCTACACCAACCCTACCCCTAAACCTACCCCTCACAGGAAACTTTCTGCATTTTTAGATTTTCAAAAAAACTCATTCTGAATTATTTATAAGCCTTTTGAATTACGGGGACACTGAAAATGTCCTCATAAATCACCTTCTCGTTGTAATACCTATGTCATAAAAAGTAGTATACTTCAAGTTTATTTTAGCAAGTATACTTAAGTAAAGTTCAAGTATATTTTTTAAGTATAAATCAGATCCAGAAATGATAGCAAAACTCAGCAGTCCTCAAGTCTGCTGTTGTTCTGGGATCTCAGCGAATTATGATTGCCCATATGTTTCATACTGCGAGCTTGATTGAAATTCTCCTCCTCTTCCCCTAACATACCTGAATGAAATTTTCCTTGACTGTCTCTCCAGTAACTTGGAAACATTAAGTGTTTCTGACAAGTTTTTCTCAAGTAAACGTCTCAGTGAGTAGGTAAGCGGTGCATGTGGCATTCTCAGAGGTATTGTCATCATCATGGGCCTGTCTGCTTGGCTGATCTGTCAAAGTGATTGGTATGGTAGCATTCATATAGTCACAAAGGTGACAGACCATATGTTAAATCCATTGGCAAACACAGATGCACATGATAATAATAACAATCCCTGCATGAGATTCTCTTATGAACTTGATGGGCGAGAAATATTTCCAGTAAGCTCCATCAAACATAAACTATTATTTTGTCAGGACCACTATCGTCAAAATGATAGATATTTAGCATAAAGTTTGGTTTGGCGGTATGGTTCTATTCTGGGCAAAAACCTCCCTGCCCTTCCATGCAGCCTGTCATGAATGAGCAGGGAGAGCCAGCAATAATAACCCCCCAGGGTTAACAGAACAGAACAAGGCAGATATCATTAATGTACTCAATGATATTTAAGTGTAACACTTTATTCAAGATAAAGGAGTCTGATTAGCAAGGAATATCAGAAAGCTAAGTCCTGACTGTGGCGAAAGGTGGAGCTGGGGATGGAGGAGGGTCATTTGCTCCGAAGCAAGCTGAAAAGCTGCTGAATAATACTGAATACAGCTTATATAGGAATGCCGCGATAGGTGTCGTATTCCTATAGGTAGATGTGATCAGCTGAGAATCAGCTGATGCAAGCTTGACTCACGTGACCTGCCAGAACTAACGCTAAAGCTTAATTTCTGAGAAGTACATAAAAAGTAGACTAAAAGTAAACTTTCCTATTTTTAGTTTAAAAGAAGTATACTAACAGCACACTTGAATAAACTTCTTTTTCGTAAGGGGATGTAAGCCACAACATCTGGCCAATAAAACACATTTTTAAAACACGGTGTTTCAGATGTTATTTAGGAAGCAAAAATATCGACGATTTAGTTTATTTGCCTGTTATCAATATCAATTCATCCATCTATCCACCTTATTTTTAAGAATGGTCGCGAGGCTTCCAGAGTGTCGTTTACTCAGTTACAGCACAGCAATGCCTTTGTCCATATTAGGGATTTCCTGAGTCCTTTTCCTTCTGTGATGGAGTTCCTGCGCGAGGGCGCCCTCTGGCGTCCAGTATGATTGAAACAGACATTAAATGTGTTTATAGCGCTCAATAATGGCCAATCCATCCCAATTTTTTTTAAGTATACTCATTTCCTGCAGTATATCTGGGCACAGGAGCCTTTACCTAATCTGTTTCGCCAATATCCTATTATTACAGTTTTAACTCAGGGTGCTTTTGACTGAGTGAGAAAATGGACGTGTGGCATGAGAGCATGAGAAAAGTGTCAATTGGCAGCCCTGTGGTGACTGTTTCATTGCTTCCTGGAATACCCTCAGTACTGTATAAATAAAAACACACACAAATATGTCTCTTAAAGTGTCTAAATTACAAAATAAGCATTTATTTTTTTTGACAATATGTGCAAGGCTTTTTAAATCCGTGCTGAAAAGTATGTACAATATGACAAACCAGTGCATTACATAGAAACTTCACAGCAGAGTATCTGACAGGTGCCCAAGACCGATGGGCTTCATTTGAGAGCGAGGCTTGATTATCTTACATGTTTTCACCAAATTATTTTTAAACCATTTTTGTGTGTCTGAAACATTAATGCAGTTGATTGTAATATTTTATACAATAGAATCATGGCATTTCATTCAACAAAAAAACTGACTAAATGACACAAAAATATGAGAGTGGATGTTGAAGTTACAGTGCCAAATATGAGTCAGCTTTTGAACCCACACAGCAATAAATTTTTTCATGCCAACTTTAAAGAACATTTTTTTCTTGTGTTGAAATGACAGTTATATAATAAGACAGGGATCCTCAAATCTGGCCCACGAGATCCACTTTCCTGCAGAGTTTAGCTCTAACCCTAATCAAACACACCTGAGCAAGCTAATCAATATCTTCAGGATCATTAGAAAATCACAGGTAGGTGAGTTTAATCAGGATTGGAGCTAAACTCTGCAGCGCATTGGCCCTCCAGGGCAAGATTTGAGGAACCCTGTAATAAGACATATACTACACATCATAAGGCAGTACCACATGAATAAGAAACCAAGCCGAACACTTGCATCTTTGCATGTATTGTTTTCTTGTTTTACTAAAAAAAAACCTCAATTGATCAGTTTTCACCAATGAATGAGTGTTCATTTAAACCACCAATTAAATAAAATAAAAAAATTAAATATCCATATTAAAAACTTTATAAACCGTAATCTCTAGCTTCCACTAGCTGTCATACATGCGTTCACGACAGAGTGGCGTTCCAGCGGATGACGTAGGACGTCGGCGTAGCGTGAGAATATGCTAATCTCATGAGAACCAAGTTTTTTCAAGCAAAGGAAAACCAGTCTCCTCTTGGCTTACATCGAAATCCTCTGACATTTTCCTTTACAAATCCTCGTTTTATACTTCTAATTTGTGACTGGTGTTTTGTTTTGCTCACTCCTCTGCACTTCGTTACTTCTCATTGGAGCTCAAGCTACGTCTACGTCATCCGCTGGAACGCCGCTCTGTTGTGAACGCGAGGTCAACAGTTAGCGGAAGCTAGAGATTACTGTTTATAAAGTTTTAAACATGGATATTTTTCTTACACAAACGCTTCAGAAGGCCTTTATTCACCCCTGGAGCCGTGGTTCACATGATGCCCTGAAAGGAGTGATTCAAACTCCAGATGTTTTGAGTCTTACCGTGTAGCTGATTTTCACCTCATCCCCGATCACACTAGTGTGGTTGAAAACGCTGGGTATCGTCTCCTTCTCTTTAAATATGATGTGGTCCTGCTTCATATACTTGTTTCTAGGATAAAAACATATTTATGCTCTGATCAGCAGTCCTGGTGTATATATCATTTGAACATATTATGACATTTAATTACATTTCACTATGCAAATTACTTTATATATGTTAAATATAGAGTACATTTGAGATATATTAGACTCTTTAAAATAATGGTGCTTCACGATGCTATAGAAGAATCTTTTTTTGTCTAAATGGTTCCATAAAGAACCTTTCTGTTTCACAAAAGGTTCTTTGTGGCGAAAGAAGGTTCTCCAGATTATAAAAAGGGAAGAAAGAGATGGTTCTTTAAAGAACATTTTGACTCAACGGTTCTTTGTGGAACCAAAAATGGTTTTTCGATGACATTGCTGTGAGGAAACTTTTAAGCACCTTTATTTTTAAGAGTGTACAGAATGAAATGGCAAACTGAATAATCTCATCTGTCAGTGCATTAACATTACTGCTTAGTTCAGTTCTGCTCAGATGCTTATTTTGGCAAAGCTGATTGGTTGGTTTAAAAAGCCACTTACGCACTGAATCTCAGGTTGGCTTCGTGCTGCACAGGGATGACGATGCTCACAAAGTTGTCTCTCAAGTTTGAATCCGACTCCTCACTATCACTGCAGTCAAAATAATAATTATATATCAAAATACTGTGCCCCTATTCTATGGAAACTTGTTTCGGCCACTGAATAAAAAAAACAAAAAAGTTAATTGCAACTTTTTATCTCAGAATTCTGACTTTACATCTTGCAGTTGACCTTTTTGTATCACAATTGTGAGATTTTGCATGTCAGAATTGTGTGATATACAGTAAAATCGCAATTGTGTGTTATAAAGTCAGAACTGCAAGATGCAAACAATTGTAAGAAAATTGTTATTTCCTCTTAATTGGACTTTGTAACTTGAAATTGTGAATTTATATCTTTTTAAAAATCTTTTTATAATTCTGAAGTCAGAATTGCGAGATGTATTTTCGCAAATGTGAGAGAAAAATTCAGAATTTCAAGAAAAAAGTCAGAACTGTGAGTTTATAGCTTGAAATTCTGACTTTATTTTTTGCAATTGAGTTCATATGCAATTCTGAGCGAAAAAGTCAGAACTGCGACATAAAAAGTCACAATTATCTTTTTTATTTTTGGTGGAAATGGGCTTCCATATTATTCTCTGTTTAATTGAGTCAAACACAGTAAAAAGTGGATTTAATTAGTGAGTAGTCATGGGCGTAATTCTTACGTGGTTGCAGTAACATTGATCACAATGTCCTTACGAATATGAAAGGGATTGGGCTCGAACTGGATTTTGAAGCTTTCCTGTTGGATTGACATGATAAGAGTGTAAACAGAACGAGATATAATAATGCACGTTATTTTATTATGTTAATTTAATAGTAAGAGGCAAATCTCACCTTTTTGTCAGTTTTAAGAAAAGGATATCCAACTGCACATACTATTCTGGTAGGATTCGTTTCACAGTCTTTATCTTTGGGCTGCAAAAAAGTGACAACAGATATTAACTGTTTTTGAAAATAGCAATGACTTTTTCCCCCATTTTGAATGCATTTGTCGTTGAATTGTTCCATCTAAAAGTTTTTCTTGCCACATTACAGATGACAAATCCTACCTCAACTTTCACATAGTTGATATTTTCCGTGTGGCTCAGTGTAACCTTAGTATTGTAAGCATTGTCTCTGCTGTTGTGGATGTCGATGTTGACATAAAACTTCTCCTGGTTGCTTTTTATGAGAAGTCTACAGAAATACATGGAGATGGACAAAGTCAATTTGCATCTAGTGCTCTAGTTCGCTTCTATTATCTTGTTGTAATGTCTTGCAGACAAATCTGAGGCTGATGACAGAACGTGTGCTGAACCTATTCTCTCAAAAGTCAACAGAAGTGGGCAGCAGACAACAGAAAATGACAAAAATACATGGGAATAAACAAAAACTCATGTACTACGAATAATACAGCCACTTCAGATCATGTCATAATTATCTGAATTGTCATTTTACATATATAATAATATCAAAGAATGAAGCAGAAAGACACAAATAGGACGATTTAACTGACCTCATATTAAAAGCTATTAATAATACCTCGAGATGTTTGCAGTGGCTTTAAGGTGTAGATTAGCAACACACTTGTCGTCATTCCCGCAGTCCACTAATGCAATCTAGAGCAAAGAAAATACAAAGAAACGTAATAACGGATGATTTATTTTGACGTGCTCGAATGGTCGTAAAAACAAACTTCAAAAGCATCCTCATCCCTTTAAGTTTGCCAAACACTGTTAGTCTGTAACAGTAGCAGTATCTGCTGTACAGAATCAGCTTTTGTTTTGCACCCTTTCCCAACAATGTAATTTAATTGCAACAGGCATTAAGCCAAATGCTTCCAACAAATATTTGTCAGGAATTATTTTCCTGCTCCAGTGCTTTAGAAGACATGAGCAACAGAACTCGAGGGAGTAGCAGAGGCAAACAGTCAGTGAAGTTTCCAGGAAAACGTGTTCTTCCTCCTGATAACCTTATCTCGTGAGCTTGTAAAGCTGTCTCCTTGGGTTTATGTGTGTGTGTGTGTATTTGTTTATGCTACATTGTGGGGACCAGCCTGCAGTCCCCACGAGGGAAAAAAATATTAAAAATAGTAAATGATGTTTATCTGAAAGTGTAACAATGCAAACAGGTTTTCTGTAATGGGTAGGTTTAGGGTTGGGTTAGGGGATAGAAAATATCATTTGGTCAGTATAAAAACAATAGAAGTCTATGGAAAGTCCCCACAATTTACAGAAATAAACATGAGTGTGTGTGTGTGTGTGTGTGAACACACTGAGTTATATAAGAAACCTCCAGTTTCCAGATGGACTGGGAGTAAAATCAGGACTCATTCCAGCCATAATCCTCTACTTTATGTATCACTTATTTTCCCCCTTTATTTCTATAGCGCTTTGTACTACACAGATTGTTTTAAAACATTGATAAACATGAAAAAAATTATTCGAATGATGCAACAGAATGCAATTCTGCTGTAAAGCAGCTCTAAAAGGACAAGGATAAATAGTCACTATTCAGTTGAAATCAGCTCATCGCTGATTCAGTTCAGTTAAATAACTGTGTAAAGTCAATTAATGTGTAAAGTCCATGCATATAATACAAATATTGCCTGCTGTATTGTCTAATTCAGGGGTTTGTACACTAGTTACACTAGGGGGCGCAGGGGATTTAATGGGCTCTGGAGAAAAATTTTACAAAATATATTTTTTAAAGCTAGATATTTTTAATAATAATAGAATTAAATATTTAACACAATTATTTATGTAGTTATTTATTTTAAATTTGAATTCACAAAACTGGATTTTGCTTTCTAAAAACTGGTCAAAATTCATGAGATTAATAATGATTTATTGTATTTAGCACAATATTTTTGAAAAATATAATTTGTGAAAAAATATTTCTGAGTATTTCAACATTCATCTGACATATATTATTATTTATTTTAAAACGTAATTCGCAAGCAACAGTAATATCATGCTTGACATTTTGGAAATATTTTGTGAAAAAATATTTAGGTATTTTCTATATTGAATGTTTTGTTATTATACATTTTAGATATATTATTTAATTTGTAAACAACATGTCTTGATAATATCATGTTTGATATTTTTGAAATACTTTGTGAAAAAATATTTGAGTATTTCTATATTAAACTCAAATGTTATTATACATACTTCTTTTGCTCAGTTTGCTCACAGACTGCATACTTCCTCTGGATCTCCGAGGGCAAGTATGCAGTGAAGCAGGACGTGCTGCAGTGTCTCAATGGAGGCTGGGCTGATTTTTCTGGCCTCGGGCCTTTGATCAGAGAACCTCTGGCTTTTATTAAACTCAAGTCGTCTGGTTTCAAACGCTTAGTTTTATGCTCTTTATCTACTGAGAGATGTTAAACGTAACCTTATCTAGATCAGAGGCAAAAATGATAGACAGTTAATGGTTTCGGAGAACAGGAGGGACTGGTTTTATAAGAAGCTCGTCTGGAGGGAGTGTATACAGTCTCCATTACAAGCTACTACTTTACATTTATAGATTTTATAGATATTACATGCATCAACAGATTTTCTCATTACTATGTTCAGAAAGCTTTAAAATATATTTTTAAGGTCAATTGGATAGATGATAAATAAACTTTTACAGATAAACATAACTTTTTTTTTTTTACAAATTTTTATATATATATATATATTTTTTTAAATAAAAAAAATTATTTTTTACAGATTTTCATAAATATTATTTATTTCTTTATTTATTTTCGGTTGTACCACATGACACGTGTAGCCTTGTCATAAAAAGGTCAAATCATCTGATACATTAAGAGACTTATTAACCTGTGATATCATTTCCTGTTTTGTGTTTTCCCTGCATATTTCTGCATGTTAATAGTTAATATTTCTGATATTTAATCAGAACTGCTTCAAGAAACAGTAATAATTATTATTGTTAACAAAAACTAAAAACTAAAAAACCTTTTCATTATTTGAAATAAAACAAACATTAAATGAAATCAAATGAAATATAAAAAATTAATTAAATATTAAAAACTTATTTTATTTCAGCTAGCTGCCAAGACATTTTCAGTTAAATTGAATTAATAAAATAACTGCAATTTAAATATATTTATATTATAAATGTAAATAAATATTATAAACGAAAACTAAAACTATATAGCCATTTTTAAAAAAAATTATAAAAAAGATAACAAAATTACTAAAATTAAATTAAAAATACAAAAATTACAAGTAAGTAACAACTTATTCAAAATATGAATAGAAACTATAATAGTATATCAATGATACTAAAACAACACTGATACTTCATAAGGTGTTCTTTTCAAGAATTTAATGAGGCGTATTTCTTCATTATAATATCAGGACGGTTGCACCACCCTGACATTTTTGTCTTTAGGCCCCCTAAACATATCAAAATTCATTTCAATTCAGAAATTCAAACATATATTTTCATCACAGAAGAGGTGAATTCAAGTAAATATATGTATTAATATAATTTTTAATGAATGAACAACTAATAAAACTAGAAACATCTTAATTCTAGAAGAGTTATTGCCTTGTTTGCTTGTCTTTAAGGCTATGTATGTCATCCAAAAAAGGAGCAACATCATGTTTTTTATACACTAAACTGTTACTTGTTCTAAAACGTAACTTGTTGCTGGAGAACTCTAGTAGCGTTTCTTCTTTATATACACACCGTACACACAACTGAACACGAAGAAGCTAAAAATCACGTGACAGAAGTTTGCCCTCTTGTGTATAAGAAGACTGGTTACTTGCCGACGTGTAGAAGGTGTGCTCTCTGCAAAGCCTGTCCACGATGGACTCGTTCTTCTGCAGCCTCCTGTTGTCCGTTTCGTTAAACCGTCCTCTAGCAATCGCTCTCAGCGAGTCAAGAGTCAAACTGTACCTGATGACTGGAGCAAAACACCATTCGAAAACGCAGAATTTGAAAGATTTGACTGACAAAAAACATAAAGAAAGCGCATCACTTCCTCACCCGTTCCTGTGTTTGTGTCTTTGTCAGACTTGATTCGATATTTGAAGCACACTTTGGTCTTCACACATACTGTGGTCCTCCCTTGAACCTGACAGGTCTGCTGCAGATTGATCTTGCTAGGGTCGAAGGTCATCTCGGCAAGAAGCTCTGCGACATCCCGAGACCTGGATTCAACAAATACAACAAGATGTTTACTTGAACGGAGCCGCATTTGGAGGATTAATAGGTGTCTCGTTTCGCTCTGTGCATCAACAGCTGGTTCGTAGATCATAGATTGAGTTCAGGCTAACGAAACGCTTCAGATGGCCTCCAGAAATACAATATGTGGTCAATTAGAGGCAAATTGAGAGCTCCTAAAAGGCTGGGTGGTGCAGTTTGGGGAGTGAAGATGGCAGAGGTCACTAGACTCCATGGCTTTGCTCTACAGTCGCAGGGTTTCGGTGTTTAGGGGTCATTTTGTGGAATCTGTGATCTCTACAGGGGATCTAAGAGAGGAAATGCAGCCAAGCGTTTATTTGGTGGTTGGAGGCACTCTCACACAGTTTCAGAGGCCAGCAGAAATGGGTCGTAGCGGAGGGACGTAACCCCTGACGGACAAGCCTCTGCGATGTGGGATGTTTAGGCTCGGGTCCAAATTCGAGACAGCTGCTGCGGGTGGGAACGAGGAAGCTGGACGTCCAGAGGGTAGTGGGTTCAAGTTACACACCCATGATTTTATTTTAGCCCTGGACATTAGTGGGAATTTGAAATGTTGTACTACAGGACAGATTGAGAGGAATAAATTCAATGAAAGTTCACCAGAAAAGCGCGGCTCCTCCTATTCCTCCGATGGTGACGTCAATGATGCCGTCATCATTCAAATCCATGATGCCGTGAATCGATTGGCCGAAGAACTTCATGCTCTCTCCGTCTCCTCCAGCAGCAATGCGCTACACACAGACATATACAGATCATATAAACGCGACTAATTCCTGTAGATGCTTATGAATGTAGAGCAGGGCAGCAACACTGGAGGAGGTCATTTACGGTCTGATTTTTAAACAAAAAAAGAGTGAAAATTACAAATTGCAATATAACTTATTAATATGTAAGTTTGCATAAATATAATAAATACTGCATTCTATAAATTAAACAAAATACCATACTTATTTAGTTATATTATTAATATCACATATTTTATTAATATTTAATGTAGTCTATATTAATGTAATATTGCATTATAGGCATTAAACAAAAAGGTAATATTTATTATAGTATTTGAACGTTTATATAAATAAAATAAATACTACATTATATGAATAAGGTAGGAATACAACATTTATTTTATTAATGAAGCATATATTAATATATTATATATTGCATTATAGGCATTAAACATGACCACAACTATTATTATACTATTATACTATTTATATACATATAAAAATAAATACTTCATTATATGAATTAAGAAATACAATATTTACTAAAGTTTAAAATAAATAAATAAATGAATAAATATTGCATTATAAGCATTAACCAAGAATACAACATTTATAATTATATTACAGTTTATATATTTAAAAAAAATTAATTAAAATATATAGAAATACAATATTATTTTATTAAGAAGTTTATATTAATATAATATATATTCCACTATACAGTATGCACTAAACAAAAGCACATTATTATTATTATTATTAACTAATTGCATGGATATTACTAGCATATTGGCTGTTTATTAGTACTTATAAAGCACATATTAATGTCTTATCCTATATGACCATATTTTAGATCCCTTAATCCACCCCATACTGTACTGTACTTAAACTTAACAGCTACCTCACTAACCATTATTAAGCAGCAAATTAGGAGTTTATTGAGGCAAAATTTGTAGTTAATAGTTAGTTAATAGTGTGAGAATTGGTCCCCAAACTACAGTGTGACCATTGTTTTTATTATTTTTACTTTTATAATAAACATTTAAGTTAATATAAAAATTAAACATCAAGTCCAGATAAAGGTAAATGGCTCAGTTCAGCTAAATGTTTTACTGTCCAGCATCCCTGTGACCCTACATAGGATACATAAGTATTTGGAGAGTGGATAAATGGATGAACAAGTATATGACTCTGTACATATATTTTAATGTCTAATTATCACAAAGACACTGTAAGCATTAGGCTAAACTAGGGGTGCAACGGATCGTAGATGATCCGTAAACACAGTCTTAAGTTAACGTAAACAGCTGAGAAAGAAACCAGTATTAGGTCCGAGCATTAGGCTAAACTAGGGGTGCAACGGATCGTAGATGATCCGTAAACAGTCTTAAGTTAACGTAAACAGCTGAGAAAGAAACCAGTATTAGGTCCATGCATTTTGGTCTTAAAGAGACAGCAGCCAATAAATACCTGTTTCTGTCTGCTAATCAAACACCACAGCTCTAACAAAGATGAATCTGTATTTAACTTGTGCAGTGAGCACTATTTTGTTATTTTACACTTAATTCTTACATTTCTGCATCTGAATGCTACTGTTACTGACTTTATTTGTAACTGTGTTTTGTTGTATTCATCTATGCTTGTACTTTGTGTAATTGTTCTTGTTTTATTACTAACTTTATTAGTTAAGCTAGTAGTTTTTGCTGTGGTATAGAAGTACTTAAAGTAAGCTTTCACAACAATTTTTTTTTTTTTTTGCTGATCCGAAAAATGATCCGATCCGTGACTCAAAATCCGTAATATGATCCGAACCGTGAGTTTTGTGATCCGTTGCACCACTAGGCTAAACACATGAATATAGGTGCGTTTCCATTACAGATTTGCGCAAAACTTTGGCGATATTTTATAAATGTCGATAAAAAAGTATTGCGAAATGACGGCGTTTCCATTAACCGATGTTATGCGACTAAAACGTAATTTTTTCCTCTCGCGATAAGTCATGGCAACGGATTTTGATAGGATTTTGATGGATTTTGGCTACACTAGCCATTATATTTAATCGAAGGAGGCGTATGCATGAATCTTGACCATAGACTGTATAAAAACATGGACAACTTCCGACGAGCGTTTTGAAGCCTAAAGTAGGCAGAGCCAACCGTCGCCATCTTGGCAGAGCGTCACTCCCGGATAATCGAAAATGGGCCACCTAGCTCGACGGTGGTGACAGCAGCGACAATCCACCTGTCACTCAAGTGGCCACGCCCTTAATTATGCAGAACTTTAAGGCTTAATATAATTTAAACGGATGAGTTATAAAAAAAAAATTCACCCCCCTCACAGTTGTCATGAAGGGCAAAATTAGCTATATAGACCAAAATAATTTTTTGAACCAGGCTGTAAACATGTTTTTTTCTGCTGTAAAGGTGGGCATTTAGCGGCCAGTTGACGAATTACAGTTTAAGTCACTTCCTTGTTGGCTTCACGAGAGAGAGCGGGAGGTTGCTGCTCGATCTTGACAGAAGCAGCGCGGAGAGCAGCTTCTGGGATGTGCCATGGCGCAACTGGTAACATAAGCGTTGACTAGAGTGGTAACGCGCCGCAGACGTGTGCAGTGTAAATAGTCTAAGCATTAATGGCAGGTAAAGCCCCTTATACTTGAGAGCAGCGACATATGAAGTGTTTCTTGGAGGTTGTAGTAGGCCTACACTGAGGAATGATCATATGCAGGGATTGAAATTAACTTTTTCACTCACCAGCCAATTTGGCTACTAAATTTTTAAGTTAACCAGCCATTCATAACTTCTACTAGCCAAAAAAAGGAGAAAAAATACAGAAATAAACCAAAAGCTTGAGGCTGTCTACACTGGACGTGACAAAGCGACCGTTGCAAATCATTTTGTGTCAGTACTAGGGGTGTGCGATATTGACAAAAAATAATATCTCAATATTTTCTGGGATTTTATCGATAAAGATAATTAGACAATATTTTGCTGAGTGTGTTATTGTGCTGATATCTTATACCGTGGAGAGCTGACTCCTAAAGTTTTTGTTATTCTTCATTATTCTGTGTGGTGATCAGTTCACAGCAGTGATATAAATT